TGTGTGTGTGTGTGCACCCACGACATGAAAAAATTCTGTTCTTGAACTGAAAGGAAATAATTTATGGCTTTGCTCCAATATCGTACTTTTTTTTTCATTCAAAGCATTAGAATAACTGATCTATAAATTATAAATAGAATTAGAATGTTATATGTTATGCATTCTTCCCTTGAAGAGTACCCAGGATTGTTTGTTTTATTTGGATTTATTTTCTTTTTACTATTTCTGTGACTTGAGAGTCACAACTCTAACAACTCTAATTCAGTTAGAAGAGGGAGTGTGGCTTTCAAAGAGGTGTCATCAATAGGGTAAGCAAGCAGGCACCATCCCCTGGGAAACTCAGAACTTTGACCTCTGGCTCTCCAGACAGCTCAAATTCCAGGGACACACACCATGCATCTGCCACCTCCACTTCCCTCTTGATCCAAGGATGACTAAGGTCTCCCAACCCTTTCCAGGCTCCCTGAGGTGCTGTGCTGTGCCCTGCAATGAGGATGCTCATGTGGGTGTGTGGAGGTAATGAGCCAGGTGCAGCAGATACAGTCATCTCCTTTCCCCCATTCAACGTATTTTCCACAGGAGCAATGTCACTGCCAGGGGTGAAAATTGGTGCTCATGGGGAGGGGTGGAAATAATCTTCGATATTAAGGTAGTTTGTAGCCCTCCGAGATCTACCCTACCTGATAAAGTCTTATTCCTTCGTTTTTCAATTCTCCCTCTAGGAAGAATTTAAATTTAACTTAATTTTTCTCCTTAAGGGGCCATTAGTGAAAAAAAAGTTATGAAACAACTCTCCAGTCAATCACTGTCTCTTCCTTATGTGGGTGGGGTGGGGAAGTAGGGAGAGAGAAGGAAGAGGAGGAAGAGGAGTAGGAGGAGCGAATGGGGAAAAAGTAAGATGAGAGAGGAGTCCTTAGGTGGGTAAGTAAGTGGTAGTTGTGGATAAAGAAAGAAACTGAGGAGCAAAGCAAATGATAAACACTGCCCCCTGACTCATTCCCAGACCCTGACTAACAGGGTTGCTGGGTAACTCTCACTGGTTCAGATGGACCGAGATGTCTTTCTGCCGATTTTGCCTCATACTGTTCTTATCCAATAAAGGCTGCTTACAGTCTAGTTTCCTGACCTGACACTTGAGCTGGGCCTGTTGGCCAGCATTGTCTTGCACACCACGTCCACTTACACGTTCAGACTGAGGTTTGCTTCAGAAGGCTCAGCTGTTTCCTAACTGGGTTTGTCTGAAGACCAGCTGACTTCCTTCGTTCCTGCCCTTCATCAGATATTCGGAATGAGGTTGCCATCTGAAGAGTCTAATTCCTTTCAGCTCTCACCTAGGCCCTACTTCTTTCTGCCTATTATTTTATCACATAGGCTGATAGGACCCATTTCTCTTAAATGCTTTCAAACACTTTTTAGACTCAAGTCACTGTATGCAAAATTTACAGGTGAAATGCTATTGCAGTTTCTTAAGGAAGAGGCCAAAGAGAGAAAAATGTTTCCAGTCCAGAGGCTGACTAAATTGCCCGGTGCTGGAAGAGGTACAAGATCAAGTCTAATTCTACTTCACTGCCCAGGAAACTGGCAGGCAGTTAAGCCCACCTCTTCCCCTTGCATGTTCCTATGAAGGCATACCAGAGTCAGCAATTCCATGTCATGGTAACCCAGAGGTTTGTGCCAGCCAGATACACCAAGAACGAAAAAAAGAGAATATCCATCATCCTGATATAAACTCACATCATATCATGTTACCAGATCATACCACACCACAGAATGCTATGAAATAATTTTTACTAGCCCCGTCATTGTTTTGTGAAAAGTACAAGTATATTTCATGGTAGCCTGTGTATGTATAAAAATGTTAATTTGTTAAATATAGACATTTCAAATATACCACACTTTTAAATTGTTTTGGCATTTTTTTCCATTATTAATATTTTAGAAGGTTCAATTAATAGACACCAAGAAGCATGTTCTACAAGAGACAGACTGTTATTGTCAGGGTTATGCCCAAAGACAAAGTATGACAGGTCAAATAGGTTTTGCAGTAATTTTGTATATCATAATGGATGCACACAGCATGCGTTGAACAATTATTACTTAATTGACTATTCAGTATTTATTCCATGTCAATGAATATATATTTAACCTATTGTGAAATATTTTTCACAAATGTTCACAAAGTCAAGCTTTTCCTTTTATGCTAGGGATTTGGCAAGTAATCTCCTACCTTTGATACTTTATTACAAAAATGTATAGGTAAATTATAAAATACAGAAAAATCAAAAGAGAAAAACCCGGTATTTTCAAGGAAATAAAATCCTGTTTAAGCTGAGAGAATTGTTATTTTTTTTAATTCTGGAGAGAAGGGTGTTTCTTTCTACATGTCTACTTTAATGTGTGTAAAGCACAGAGAACATTCCATATATGTTCAACTGAATTACTAAACCAAATAAGCAATAGTTGTAAAGACAAGATAAACTGATATTCTCTTCCAAAGATATCTTACCTCCTAAGCAACTTAGGGAAAACATATAGGTTCTAAGCATTCCTACACAAGAGCTTTATAGCATAAGTGATGTCCTGATGTACCCATAGTACAAATAGTGAAGGCTGGAGTAGCATCCTACTACAGCTTTTTTAACAAAGCAAATAATTTCTACTTTGTAAAAATACTATTCACACATACCTAGTATTAGCACTCCCCTCACCAAGAATTATTCCAGAGAAATAACAAATTATGTGACTTGAGAAGAGGACAGGAAAAGGTAGTGGTTTTTATAAGGCATCATACAGAGCTGTTTTTAAAATGTTCCAAACCTCAGACAAAGGAACAATACTTTCACTAAACTACTATAAAATCAAATGTAAATAATTTCCATAATATTTCACCATTCAAATAGAGAGGAAAATGTAGACATTTAAATAAATAAACACAAATCCTTTATGAAAATTTAGTAAAGAGTCTACTTAGGTTAGCAAAGATTTGCTTAGCTTGATTAATAATTTGGAAACAAATCTATTATTTATAACTACATAAAAATTTCCCAAACCAGTGTTGTTAGCTACCAGCTATAGTTTGTAGGTACGTATCTGTACATACATAATTTGAAGCAAGTTTAAATAATCTATCTGATGCATATACCTTTATTGACATATTGGAACAGGCCATTATCAATTTTTATGTCTTCTTAAAGATCAAGAGATGGCTTCTTCTTCCAAAATTTAGAGAGTAAATGAACTACCTTGTCTGGGAGACAGGTTATTGACCCTATTCCATCCTTACAAGAAATTCTTAGGAAAAAAAAATGCATATAATTAAAAAATTTTTTCTATAGGGTGCTTAATTTTGGATATGTGTCAGTAATGCTGTTATTAGCAAATAAACCACATAAACCTTTCAAATTTTCTTTGACTTAACTGCTTATTTTTACATATTTGGTTAACTGCCCCTGAAACATTTGGTGGAACAATTATTTATTCCTCAATTGCCTAAAGGCTTGAAAGAGTACATTTACCCAAAATACTCTCTTACATCCAGAATTTATGTCATTCATCTTCAATATTCATTCCATATTTTTAGTAGTAACTCAAATATGTAACTGAACACTTGACATTAGAAAGAGCTATAACCGTTCTCAAACAAAACCCATAAATGCAGCACATCCATTTCTTTCTTATGGGTTAAACAAAAGTAAACAAATTTTTCATAACCACAAAAAAACCTAGTTGAAATCTTCCATTTGTCAGAAAATGTGCATTTCCTCATTACATACAACAGTAATACATTTTATTTCATTTAGCTCCAAGTCCTATAAATAAAATGCCTTTAAAAGTCAACAAGATGTAGAAGTAGACATATCAACCAGAGCAAGAAGCAGTTTTTTCATTGCTGCATTCAGCTTATTATTTGCATTATTTATATGTTGTAGATTTCATGTAGTATCTTAATTTCCAGTCAACAGGCACATATTGTCTTTATATTTCTGTAATTTTTACTGTTATAAAAAATGAAAGTGACAAATTCTAATTTAAAGAATTCATATGATGACAATCTTTATGCTACATTCCATTTTCATCTAATATGCACAAAATATCAATACTATGTTTCTGCCACTAAAGTTGACTCTTTAGATGTCTGCTTTGTAATTCATATTGCAATACAGAACTAAATACATGGGATGAGAACTGGTTTGAGCTAACCCTCAAAGCTCTCAATAAAATTAGATAAACAGAATCATGCAGTTGAATTAAATACTGAAATTAGTGGCAAAATATTTACTCTGAGATTGAGACATATGCAGGCACAATGGAAACATGAATTTACCTTCATTTTAAGCAAACAGTTTATGAACTCTGACATATGGTAATACCTCAATTGTAGAAAAACTTATACACCAACAGACAGAAACATTGTCAGAGTAGACCTCCAAACAGGAAGCAAATGGATGCATTCCAGACATTGGCTCATTCCTTACACACTTAGTAAGACAGTCCTTTCCTTCATGCATGAGGCCCCCCAGCCCTCTGAACTGTAAGGAGCTACTCTCTCCTTTCTTTCCTTGCACTTCAACAGAACGAGGCCAGGACACACTCCTGTACTTTTCATGACAGCACCTTGCCTTTACAAGGACGGAGCCCAGGCCCCAGGCTTCTGCAGGACTCCATGCCTGCTGGATCTAGCCTAGGGCGTCCTCCTCAACCTCCAAGTCACCAACACCACACTGTGCCAGGAAAACCAGAACTCTCTGAAACAACCCTGTGACTCAGGCCTGCCCCGACCTAATAAGGGTATTTACAAAAGAGTAAATGCCATTTTATGACATCACACGGGAAGAATAACTCTATTCGACAAAATCAGATTTTGGAAAGTATCCTTCACTGTCTGTGTAGCCTCTTTTTGTCCTGTCTTACCAAAACATCTTAAATGAAGACAATCACACTCTCTGGAATGTAGGCACATGCTAAGCACGTGGAGGAAAGCAATGCCAAGCTTCTCATACCTTTGCAGCCACGGATGAGTTGGGTTTCTCCAGCAAGTCCCATAGCTTCTTCCGTTTCTCCGGGCAGCAGGTGTTGTCAAACTCTTCGCCCTCCCGCTCTCGCATGGTCTCTGCCTCTCGCCTCAGTTCTTCATTCATTTGCTCCTTCTTCTGATGGTATCTGGCTTGGCAGCAGGACTCTAAGTAGATCTCATCAATCCCCCAGTAATCAAGCTCTTGGCCAAAAGAGAGAGCACACATTTCCTCCATCATGTGGAGTTTCCCGGTCCGGTAAAAATTTAAAATGGAAGTGAAGGCTCCCGGGTGCCGATCAAAGAAATACTCGTTCTCGTTCAGGTTGTAGTCGTCACACACCTCCAGGAGGCTCTCGTGCGTGTTGCAGTCCCGGAGCTTCCCCAGGCGCGTCCGCGGCAGCCGGTCCAGCGTTCGCCACAGGACTTCGTGGTTGAGGCCCCCCACGTTGATCTTTACTCTCCGTGAGCACGTTTTGCTCCTAATGATGTCCACCGGCTCTGGTGGAAGAGAAAGTGTCGACCTTGAAGTCTTCCTGTTTAAGCCAGGGGGAGCCTTTTCTGCCATTTTGAACTGAACAAAGCCGCAGAGCCAGGGTCCTCAAAAGAATTCACCGCGGGGAGGTCAGCTGCAGCGATATCGCTCTGAGGCAGGCATTTCCACAGACACAACTGGAAAAGAGCAACAACGACCATTTGGTTACTTGCATTTTTCTCAAAGCACTTCTTATTCTGTGGGATCGCGCTATCTTTCATGCACAGCCAGCAAGTATGATATGAATTCCTGTGTTTTTATGGAGATCCGAAACTTTGATTTTAAGATATAAGAAAGGAGGAAAAAGACAACACAATATACTACATAGAAGAATGCTGTGTATTCAATTTTACACATCTGTAGGTTGACAACACCCAAATTCATCTCCGGAGACCTCTTTCTGATGGCCAAAATATCCATGTGCTGATCTGCTCTTCCCAGATGAACCACAGACACCTTCAGCTGCACTGGTCACACACTCACCTCCCAGGCCGGCCAGTCCTTGTTCTTTCTTCCCCTTAGATTTATGGCTCTCCACACCTCCACGCCCAGCAACTCAAGCTAAAACTCTGAGAAATCCTGATCCATCAATCCACATCCAAATAAACACCAGGTCTTGACAAACGGTACCTCCTAAGTGTGTCTGAGGCCCTCCACCACCATTTCCCAGTCCCTGTTACCCTTGATCCACAATGCTGGTTCAAACCCTCAGCATCTCTTGCCTACTGATCCACAACAGCCTCTTCAATTGGATTCCGAACTCTGGTTTTCTCCACCTAAAAGCTATTCTCCACACAGCTAGGACAATGATCTGCTAAGATACAAATTTGATCTTGCTGTGCTTTAAACCCCACGAAGGCTCCTCACTGCTGGCAATATCAAGTCCAGTTGCCCAAGTACATCTGTCCTACCTCTTCCCACTCTCCCCTCCTCTCTCCCTCATCAGTATATTCCAGCAACCCCAGAGCCCACACGTCATTCTGTCTCAAGTTGCTGGCCTTTCTTCATGCAGAGCTTCAATCTGCCCCATTTCCTTTTACTAACTGCTCCTTGTTTTTCAGGACTCATCCCAGATATCACCTCCTCCAGATAGCATCCATGATCTCTGTCCTGTAGGGTCATGAAATTCTGTGTGAATGTGTCTTCCTTTTCATCAAACCACTGCAATAACACTTTCCCCACAGAATGCTGGGGGCTCTTAAAGAGAAAGACTCTCTTCTCTGTTGTTATATCCTTATCACTGAGCATACTGCTTATATATTGTTAAATAATGAATCAATTCTTTAATTTTTTTTCCCCAGAAGACAGCTTACCAAAGATCTAGTAGGGCTAATGTATATGGCCAGAAAAATGCATAAATGGAGTTATTTGGATCACTTGCCTAAAATGCATCATGTTTACATGTTATTTGTACATGTTTGTGTGTACACAGTATGTTTGTGTGTACATGTATTCATTGCTTCACAGATCTTTTCTCCTGTGGATTAATTCTTTAAGATACTATTCTTGTGTATTCCCTCTTGTTAATCTATTATTCTGATCTACACCAACAAGCATCGTCTAATTTGATCTCCCCCTAGAATATTTTTACAGAAAATCACGGAGCTTCAAGCCATTCATCCAAAACACCATGTTTAATGTAAAACACCACATTTCACACAGTGAATGGCTATACCAGAGGGAAAAGCTTTTAGATTTAAGAGGTCCTTATAATTGGAACTCTCTTTTAAGATACACATCAATTTCTTTTAAGATACACATCATGTCTCGGGTTTCTCCACTCCTGTAAATTTATTTCTCCATCTGGAAACCAAGTATCTTCTCAAATGAAAATAAGTCAAATTTATGAAAAAAAATGTAGATGTACTATGTAAGAAGTATTTCAAATATGGCCAGTAGATACATTTGAACTGGGTTTTTCAACTACATTGTTATAGAAATGTTTTAAACATATACATACACATTTTCATGGCACATGACAATAATATCTATTCTTACAAAAATAAAGAATTACAATGACTGAGTTAGTAACTTAAATTATCTGAGCCTCAATTTCTTAATCTATAAAATGAGGAAAATAGTGTCTACTTCACAGGCATTTTTATGAGATAGTTTATGTGAAGTGGCCCTGCGCAACTGAACAGAGTAGGAAAATTCATATTTCTTCTTTAAGTTTAGCTTCCAATCACTGAAAGAAAACCAAGATTAAAAGCTATACTAGTAAAAATAAGTAAATAAATAAATAAATAAATAAGTAAATAAAAGCTACACTAGTGTCTATTAAATAAGTGCTAGAAGTTAAGTTTCTCTAATGTAGGCATAAATGCTGTCTTCTTAAGTGTATTATAAGCTAATAAGGCCAGGAATTGTTGGCCCCACCTTTTCTCTATCAAGCACTGAACCTACCCACCAGGCACCTATAACATGTATCTTTGATGCCATTGATGCCGGTCTCCAAATTTTGTATTCAGGTAACAAATACAAACATAAAAACAAAACTGAGCAGCACTATAAGGATCAGGCAAAATAGCTGAAAATATTAGAGATGGGGCAATTCCAGTAGTGAATGAATGTCTGTACTCCATTCAACGCTTTGGTTTTAAGTGCCATCTCAGCAGTCCATATAGATTATGCAAAGAGGCCACATGAATAAGCAGGAAGGCTAATACATTTTAATATAGTTACAAATAAACATAAAATGAATTTACTTCTTGGAATATCATCTTTTATACTAATGTGAAGAAGATAAATGGTTTTTGAACTGACTGTAGTACCAGTCAAGAGGTTTTCCAGAAAGAGTGACAGCAAACTGCAGTATAATACAAACATGTTTGTGGTCAAAGGCTTAGTGTGACTTTGCTTACAAAGTCATCACTAAAAGCATAAATGTTATGTCACACTCACCGGTAGGTCACCATTTGTCTTAAATAATTTCACACTGATGAATTAGAATGACTTTTCCTTTTGTAGAGTGTGTCTCAAGTGAAGAGAGGTCATAAGAATTATATTTCAAAATATCTTCTTAACTGATCAAGAACTTTCTATTTTAAGAAATCCAGTGTTTGTAACAAATCCCACAATAAAAGACAGGTTGAAATTCAGTATCTTTCTTCAAAGCAGGGATAGAGGACCAGGATGAGAGATTGCGGCCTGTGGATTTGATTTTCTTAACACTGAGATCTGATCTGTTCTGATTATTGTTACTGTGGTTAATTTTCTTTTTATTCTCTTGGCAGAATGTTCTGCTTGTTACTTGATAAAGAATGGAGGCTCAAAGGCATAAGCTCTTAAACAGTTGAAGAACTGTGAGTAGTGGTCTCAGAGTTAATCAGGCTTTCAGAATAATAGTAAAAACCAGTGGTCATATTTGCAAGCCTATAATTCAAGTAAAGTGCAGAGCACAGGCCCTGGTCAACTGTCCTGTGACGCTGAGACTTTCTGCCTGCCTGTTTTCTCTTCTCTCTCTTCCTCTGGGTTTTCCTCTCCCAATCTCCCATCTCTCTGTTTCTCCACACAGTGCTTATCTTTCTTCGTTCACCTCCCTCTCTTCTTACCCTGTAACTTTATATCCTCATGGCCTCTTAGCCAACCACAAAACCAAACTATATATTTTCAAACTTGTACATACTTCATAAAGCTTTCTATAGCCTTAATATGAAAACCACCAGAGCTGAAAATACCACATCTTTCTCCAGAAGAAAAGAAATACATCTAAATTGAGTTTCTTTTTCTGGGAGGTTGTGTGACATTGCAAAAGAGGCTCTGCTCCGAGCCTCAGGACCCTGGGGGCCAGTTTGGCTGCCCTTCTGCATCCCTCTCACCTTTCTGGTTGGGCTTCAATTTCCCTACCCATTAAATAATGGAATTCCCATGCTTACAGTTATTTGATTTCTATAGCCTTTGGTTAATTTTTTTCCTCCCACAATGATTCTGTGGCCTTTACCACCCTCCCCCTCCAATCACCATCCTTACTTTAGGGAGAAATAAACCTATCATACTACCTCAGAGTCAATGAAAACACTTTCTCATGTCTAGTTTCTTAAGAAAAGGTGGTTTTCATATTTCACTTCCAGCCTCCTTTAATTTTTAAAAAGGCTTGAAAGTGACTACCTTCAGAACATCATAAAAGTTTCATTTATTTTATTTAGTGTATAGTTGATTGTCTATATTTTAACTTCTCATTTTAATCTATGTTCTTTCCTGCCATGTTAATTTTACTTCTAACAATGAATCTGTTGGTTGCCTCCCAGTTAGGTATACTATATCTTGCCACTCTTGAAAGCTTGCAAAATTTATGTTTTTAATTTTAGTAATTAAAATGGATATGATGTTATGTTTTCTCACATACAGCTTTGTAAGTGGAATTATGTTATCACAATAATTTTACCCCATACGAATTAATCATGTAATTCAATTTAGTATACAAATATAAAATTTAATAATTCAATATTTAAACTGTGTGGATGTTATGTAACTGTGTGCAATTTATAGACATAGTCAGCTATAAACTGAACACACATTTTTTTCTGTCGAGGGCAAAATCTCAGTGAATCTTTTCTTCTGGCAGTTTGTTGATTTATTTCACTTTATTTGGTCAATTGAAATTCAAGCTTGTAACAATCAGCCGACCAATGCAAATGTACTAAATATCCCTTCATTAGTCAGTTAGAGGAAAAAAACGAACTCTTTAAACAATAAACAACAACAAACATTCTTGTTTTGCACAGCTGCACTGCGCCTACCAAGTCTGAAATTATGCTGCCACCCGCTCAGGGCCCAACCTGACAAAACACGACTTTCTGATCATGGCATCATAATTACAGCTTGAGGCACCAGGTTTTGAGTGTGGGGGGGAAGATTTTTTTTTTTTACTGTAGTCTCAAAAATACTACCATTATGTCATATATGGTATATAATATTGTCATATGTCATATGTCAGATTGACACTTCCTTAGTGTAACAAGGCAGGAAAAGTCCCATGTGCTGTTCTGGGAAGATGAAAAGCAAATCTTTCTAAAGATCTGAGTGATGTTTCACATTTCACTTCTGTGTTGCAAGTACACACTGAGCAGGCATTTGCAAACAAGCCGCTCTGAGAGACCTTTAAGTATAAATCACTCTACGTGTAGCTCTAAAG